ACAAATTGTGACCCTGCACACACTGGAATCGCCCCGAAACAGATAGATCAAGATGCACTGGACAGACCACACCGGCGCACTCTAACAAGGAAAGTCCGGGACAACGTTGAGAAGAAAAGACGTCAAGACATCAGCGAAACAAGATATAATACCATTGCAATCTGTCCTGTCATGTCAAAAAGTGATAAAAGCAGATATCCAGTTTTATGGAACGTGTAAGCATTGTGAAATGCAAGAAAGAATGTAGATCCAAAACGTTTTACGATTATTTTTTACCCTGAACATGTTTTACCCTGGATGGGTTACTGACACGATAAATATACCACACACCAACTTTCAAAGCAACGGGAAAAAAACACAAAATCTTAGCCCTACGACGACCGTAAGACTATGTTAAACGTATTGAGTTACGATTGTTAGCTTTGTGCAAGTGGATCGTTGTCTCTATTCCTTATTTATCTGGGCGAAAGATATGTACAAATACATCGGGGTGTTTTGAACTAACTGGAACATGTATACCAGATATACGTATCAGTTGTTAAGCATATAGGAGCTTTTATGCAACGAGCTATGCATTCCTGTTGTAATGATACAGTTATAAGTATATATTAATGGAGTCTATATTATACCTTTTCATTCTAGTACTTAATGTCTGGGGAAATGCATATTGTTTTAACCAAGATTTTTCTTGAAATAACGACTCAGCTAATTACTGCATGCTTATATGAAAATACGTGTCTCCTAAAACTACTCCACGAGGACAATACGACCTTCCTATGAACCTTTTTAGCTGCAAGTAATTAACTTAAGTCAGAACATCTTATTACTAAATGCGGCTTTCCCACCAGGGGCATAATGTATTTATAACGGTATAGTTCTTCCAATACGAGTTCCTGCTGTTGACACACTCTAGGGAGGAACGACTGTCAGAGAAACAACAAATCGTTCGAGGCACACCAAGCTATCTTTACTTATTATGGAAGTGTTGGAAATCAATTATCGAGTGCAAAGAAATGTGAGGATAGAGTGCTGGTTGTCATGGTTACAATGTGTGAAGTCCATTTCTTGAGTCCTCCACTGTGACATTGCTGGAATATTACTACTATAGTCCTTGGCACCATTCCATCCACTGCATCCATATTACAGTTTCTGGAGCATCTCACTGGAGAGTGGAAAGTCAATCGTTCGATCCTCTGGCCGTTTCCCTATCTTTTTAAAAATGTTCAAGCCAACGTTTCGAAAACATAATTTTGTGAGTTTTTGTCTACGTTTTGAAAACGTTTTGACGAAACGTTGACGAGAAACCTTAGAAACCTTCTAAAACGTTTTTCCATGGGGTTTCCAAAACGTTTCAGAAACGTAAGGGTTGAGTGAGTGGATGAGTATGGTTTTTAGGCCACTTTTAGCAATATTCCAGCAATATCACGTCGGGGGACACCGGAAATGGGCTTCACACATAGTACTCATGTGGGGAATCGAACCCTGATCATAAGCGTGACGAGCGGACGCTTTAACCACTACGTTACCCCACCGCCCCCTTAGGGTTGAAACTACTTGCAATTGTAGAGATATCATATAGGAAGGACATCTTTTCATATGGTTGCAAGGCTCGTTTACCAACATTTAGTGTTTTGAATCCCATCCAATAAATACATACACGTAAGTAAATTTGTTATTTACTGTCATCCGTTATAATTTAGTAAACATGAAAACAAAATAATGATATGCTTTAAAGAATACTTCATTTCATCAATACACGTCTATGTACATATATTATGGAAAATAATCAGTCATCTTTCTCATCGGGATCTTCTTGCGTTTGTTTCTGAAAAAAAACGCATAGAAATTCTATAAATATTTACTGTCACTTCATTCTTGATGATGCTAAATTGATGCTAAATAATGTTCCTGTGTTGTGAAAGTATGTTGAAGAGTACAAATTCCCACCAGCAATTTTCGAAAGCTTAAAAAGTAAATACAGATCAATTAACCTATTATTATAGGATATTTTTATAGCACACATATCCTTGCAACTAGTACATGCCCAAGGCACTGGAGTGTTCCCTTGATCAGCGATGTATTTTGTTCTGGCATTCTTTTTTAACAAGCTCAACTCCCTGGGGAGTATTCAACTCATGCAGCCTGTGAGCGCAGCGAGTTATCACACAGCCTCATCCCCACAAGGTACCCATTTGCAGCTGGGTGAACTAGGACACACAGTCACAGTATTTTATCCAATGATACTGCACGTTACTATACCCGTAACTAGGTATCTGTACGTGTTCGTGTGTCCACCATCTGGTCACCTACCATCGGATGACTGGGTTCACACTCGGGGCTGTGATAACACTGATAGAGCCTGCAAGTAATGTTAGCTCCAAGGTTTTTACACACGGTAACAAGTGGTAATCGATCCAAGCCCCTTTCCCTTTCTAGCGCGACGACTTAGACAGCTCGCCCACCATGACCCCCAGGCCATAAATCATATACAATATGAATGTATTACCAGCCAAATAAACGCAATTTGTCAAAGTGTGCAACTTATTTCATCTGGTTATATTGTATGATACTTTCCCAAAATACGGGCGTCATGTACAGAAGAAAGTTGTTACTCGCAATGTATTTACGGGAGTGAATATTGTGTGTTTCTTAGACTTGACTCAAGTTATAAATGATCAGCTGCCTTTTTAATGGCAGGATCAACTTTTATTTAAAAGTATGGCTTCATGACACACCATTTCTTGTTTCAAAGTGGCATACTATATTTACTTTATGAGAGTGCTGACATTTGTTGTGAGGTCTGGTTGCTGGGGAAGTGACGTATTGTCGTAACCGGCGATTGGGCCTCAGTCATTCCTACCACAGTTACCTATTAATTATGGTCGTTCCACATTTTCCTGGGAGATGGTAGCTCTGGCGCTCCACTCGCTTGGTCCGTTGCAGGATGCTAAGTCAAGGAGTGAGGGGTCGGACGACCGTGACTCCTAACTAACCACATAACATTCATGTACTGGCAGACATACATTCATAGATAAACGCAACACCAAGTTTATACTCACATAGTTTTTACTACCACCTCAACAACAGACAGGGCAGGTTCGTACCACACAGGCAGCTGAGTGGCGTGGATTAGCTTCCTAAATGTTGAGCTCGAACAACCCGCACACTGAGCTCGTAGGGCCATGAGCAAAACCGCAAATCTAAATACGGAATCTGATGTAATTCTCTCATGGGTTTAGGGATGCATGTTTACCTTATAACAGTATTGTTTATGCTATAAAATAACGGACTGAGAATCACCGACTCGAATGTAATTTATCCCCTGATTTCCTGTACATCGATGATAAGCAAGACTGTGTTTACGTGATCAAATCGAAGTCGGCCGATTGGATACGGGGCAGAGGGAACAAGGAAATGTTTTATATTTGAAACCATGTTTACATTTTGGTCATTTAATAAAAGGTAATATTATAGTTTTATTAATAGTCGACGTTTGTTTGTAATTTAATTGACATCACCATGCACTCTACATTGCATTATTTGCATACACAGATATACTGTGAAACAGTTTGGGTATGAATGTACATTTATTTATTTACCACTCTGCAAACCTAAAAAACAGGTTTTCTAATTTTGCTTGTACAATCGATTTTGATCTTGTGAACGTTGGTGCTCATGGAGTAGAAAACCCACTCAATCTAACACCACGAATAAATTTATGCTTGTAATCGTCACATAAATTTGATGGCACAAGTAAAACATATCACACATAGGTTGAGAGAACATCCTAGGAGTAAGCACAGTTGCAAACAAAGAATAAACGTTCACAAGGCAAGACATAGAATTTGACTGAAATTCGTAAGTGATAATTTATCAGTTGACTGTGCAAATTGACGTTTTTAGAACAATAATGTGAATATACATACCTCCAAACATGTCACAAGGGTAAAATGGACAATCTTCTATATCTAGCAATGTGGTGGAACTTCCCGCCTGCTATGTACAGCGTCCGATTTGGAATGCACGGATTCTGCTCTGAACTGATAAAGTATTTGGGAAAATCTGTGAGCTGAGACCGATACAAGTTTTCCACGCAGAGAAGGCTGAACTTACACGCAGAGCAGTAAACGCAATGAAATGTTAGTTCTATTGTAAATAGTACAGTAAAAAAATCAGTGATAGTAATGAAACACATGACATACTATTCCACTTGACAAAATGTTCACTACAGTTGTAAATCCTCACAAATATTTAGGTACAGATGTAATTGATTGACCATTATTTTCAAGTTAATATACATTCCTGCAGTGAACAGAGACATGCTTATTAGGAAAAGATTACCTCGAAATGTTTTAACAACGATTTTACAACGTTGTGATTTGGTTTCAGTCACACTTTAGGAAAACCTTCGCCAATGTTTGAACGACGTTTCTAAAAAGCTGGTGTGTAGAAGTTTGGATTTTGTTTCTTGGAAACATTTTAAGAACGGTACTCGAAACAATTTCCTAACTTTTCAAAATAACGTTAAAAATCGTTCTAGAAGGGTACAGGAATGTTTTCATGAAACATTCCTGACAGAATCACTTAAAAACGTTGTATAAACGCTGTGTGTTAGCTGGGCAGCTGCCTCGGAGTCATAATATGAGTGAGCTTGGTATCCTTGTTAAATAACGGCACTGATTCTCAGGTGAATAAATGGTCACTCTCAGACGTACTACTGGAAAGTACCAAGAGACTGTCCAGTATACAAAGGCGGCGGTTCTATCGTAGCTTGGACAATAAAACATTCGTTCTATTGAATGATAAAATCTTGTGTTTTGACAATACAGAATATTCATGGAATATATCCCTTTAGATGATGCATTGTCTACCAAATTCACCAAGGATCACACGAATAGAGAGAGAGACATGGTAGACCATTTTCTCGTCAATATTTAACTTGTTTCCATGACTCACTGAATGCGTGTTTGTATCGCCATCAATACAGGATAGTACTCTATCACTGGGAGGACGCGGGGAACACGAGTGCTACGTTAGTGCCTCTAGACAAACATGGGATTTTCAATCAACACCTTTGCAGGTAATTACGTGTTTTGTCATGATCCATTTTCAAAGCCTTCTGGGTTAAACAAAGGAACCGTGAAACGCTATTTAAGTGGAACTCTAGAATGTACCACAGATATTCACGAGACAATAGAGGCGATTCATTATTATTCATTTGTGACATGAAATTCATGAAGTACAAACGATATGAAAAACAGAAATCTTATTCGTATTTGATTATTCGGGGAGTGAAACAAAAGAGCCCCCAAACAATCTCTAGGTACCCCTATGATGTTTGGATATTTTATATTAACTCGTAATGTTATTATTTTTCAACTGAAACAACTTCATCAATTCCTGCAATCATCACATGATTCATTTCAGGGCTCAAGTTTGCAATAAAACACTACTCACCATACATTGCATCGACATTAAATCTAAACGTCGTTTTATTACTGACCGGGACTGCCTAAATGACGAAGAGCATATTTATTTTGTACAGTGTCTATTTCCACAATGCACTTGCACAGTATCTCACAAGCTCGTTAAATATTTCAGTTTCTTACACCTGATGAAGGAGTAAGGATTAACTCCAAAACGTTGTCTTCCTCATAATAAAGAAGTTGACGTCTTTCTTAATTCAAATTGGCACTGGGTGTACTGATAATAGCAACTCCAAGGGGACAAAGAAAAGTGGAGGCAAAAAATTGTCAATTTTACAAATATGTTGCCAATTTATATACGTTTTTGTGATCTGGAATAAACTGGTGAAATTCGTTTCAAAGGCAAACTGCATTACTTGATCGTCTAAAAATTGTCTAAAACGTCTTGTCACTGACAGAAAGGAAGGAAACAAAAATTGACGCCTTTCATGTATGAAAAACGAATGCTCTCTCAGTTTGATATTGTTGAGAGTATTCATATGGCTCTGATCTCATGATCAGTGTATCTCATTTGAATATATTATAACAATGTTGGAATATATACAGAGAAATAAATTAAAACTGCACATATTTACGAAAGTTTAATGGTACTACTTTCTTACATAATGTTATTTTCTAAATCAAAATTCCTTGTTGTTGTCTACATTTATTTCTCTGATTATTTCACTTAATTTCAATTACTTTCTCATTGTTTGAAGTTTATTTCAATTTTGGTTTTGGTTCCATGTTCATTTTCTCGATATTCAACTATTTAATCGAAATTTAGAGTTTGTAATCGTCACTCCTTAAGTTACATCATTTTTTCGTTAAAGTTATTTTTCAAAATCGAAATTATGAGCATTTGTACATGCTAACACCGGCAGAAGAAATATTTTTGTTCATTTTTAGTACATACATGTTGTACCCTGCCGAACGTCCTCTTATTAATAAACAATATGTACTCTCTGGTGGGATTTGTGCAATTGGTAAACCAACAGTGTTCTCTGCGTCTTACATTATCCGTGTGAAATGTTTGGTTTATTTTACTCCTTGTTTAACTGGAAACTACACAATAACAGCAAATCTAACACTATATTTTTGTATTCAACAATTGTAGTCATGCGATACCTTTCCACACGTCATATGCTTCAGTGTCCTTTCAAATGATCAAGATACTAAAATAAGGACGCGATGTCTTCTCTCGTCCTGAACCCGTGAAGGTCCGGGTTAGAATGAGCCTTCACTAACCCATGCTTGTCGTAAGAGGCGACTAACGGGATCGGGTGATCAGGCTTGCTGACTTGGTTGACGCATGTTATCGGTTCCCAATTGCGCAGATCGATGCTCATGCTGTCTTGATGTCTTCTTCCTTGCAAAAGGTCGGTAAACTCTTCAGATAACAAAATAGCGTCATAGTGTCTTCGCTCGTCCTGAAGGTCGATTAACTGTTCCCAAAACAAAATATGGTCGTAAAGTCTCATTTCATCCTTACGACCAGATAACTGTTCTGATAATAACATAAGGGCTTAACGTGTTCTCTCATTCGTAGGGCCAGTTAACTGTTCTGATAACCAAATGTCTTCTTTCATCCTTACGACCAGACTATACCTTGAAACGACATGGCTGGTTTGTCTCTTGAATCGATGGCCTTGTGTTATGGGTCGATCATTTGATGACCTGGGCTGGGGTGAAAATGATAGTTTGTTCCAGATAACATGGGCAGATTTGCCAAAGTTCATTTGTTTACTGGGCATGCCATGTATTGTGACACAAAGCGTTTCAGTAAAATGTCTCAAAATTAATCCATACTAACAGAAAGCCAGACTCTAGTGTTTTATATTTATTACAGGCTTCTATGTTATCGTCTGTGGTTCCTGCACAAACATCAACGTCATTTCTACCGGAGACTCCAAGATGTACAATACACACGACTACGGCGTCGACGTCAAAAAACAGGTCAGCAATTCTCTTCAGGGTCAAGGGGTGCAATGATGGTTTTATACGACTATATGATGGTCCCGACTTCAGCACAGCCAAGAACGCCTATATTTTGCTTGGTGGATGGGGAAATGATAAGTGTTTGATGGAGCCGTGCAGTAGTTGTTCAACCCGATACTCGCAAAAATACCGGTACTTGAATTGTAACGAGATGAGGCCAATGTGGGTCAACTGGACTGGCAGATTGCTTAGCGTCGGTGAAGGGGCTTACGTGGGAGAACAAACCTTCATGTTTACTGAACAGCAAAGGGACTTTGAGGTCCAGTATTTTGCAGTTGGGTCCGGTTGGAGTGCAGTATTTGACTGGGAATTTGGTAAGTAACACCAACAGCTCTTAGATACGTGTGGGTCCTGATTTGTTTTATAGATATTTTCATCAATTTGTAAAATATTGGTAAAATATTAAGGTTTGCATGTTGGATCGAACGAAACGTTTGTTATTGACCTGTTACTCATAATTGCTGTGCTCACAAGTGCATCAAACATCTGTCTAATTCATTTTTTCATATTAACTTCTGTCGCCATATGTTGTCTGTGCTTCTGTCCAAGAAGACCCTGGTGCAAATAATAACCTAAACTTCTCTATTTACTGGCGATAATAAAATGATCATTGCTTCACGTTTAAAATCACAGTGGGCCACCTCATAATTTTGTCATTTGTTATAAACTGCTGTACTAAACAATATTGCAGTTATATGGCGATGCTTTGTACATACTCGCATGTATACAACTTAGATAAATGATGTGTGTTCTTTCTTTAATTGATAAAATGTTCAAAAAACTGATAAAAGTTACAAAGGCATTTTCATTATCATAAATAATATCGGTTAAAAGCAGAGTGAATTGTGCGATTCTGATTGTATGATATAATGTGTTTTAATCACTTTCCAACGGAAATGATATCAGGTGTTTGCGAAAAGGTGAGCGCGCCCTGCCCCATCAATGCAACCCGTCGCAAACACATCTAAAAGCAAGTAAACTGTTCATGTGGAAAAAACAAGGCCATTCCAAGTTACAAGTCAAAATAATGTCTGAATGTATATAACACTTTTTGAAAGCCTTTTTGAGGCCTTGATTGTAACCCTCGTGAAATAACACTTGAGAAAGTCTCCGCTAACAAGAGCATGCTCAATTGTTTTCAAACGTTGTGAAATGTACATACCTGTGGCTAGACGTACTTGAATATTGATCGACAGTAAAGGAAGGTTGACTGTTGAAAACTTATTGGACTTTGTGAACAGTTCTTTGTCACTTTGATTCTTCACGCATTGATCTGGATATATGAAATAGGCTGTAAATCTATGCTCTTTGTTTAGATGGCCACGCCGGGAATTTCTTTGAGCTTGTGGTGCCTTATGGTTGGAGTACACGCCAAATGTTGTCTTCAGTGACGGCCACCTCTATGGTAAAATGCATCATAAGTTGTCACGGCAGGATCAGCTGTAGGTCAGTCAGCTACCAGAACACGACCAACACCTGTCAGTTATACTTTGAACGAGCACGACCCGTTGATATCCACCCTGACAACACTTGGAAAACATGGATTGACAAAAATGTGTGAAAGATGCTCCTCATGACTTCACTGGGTATTGCGACATTCGTCACCTCTCGTCCCTTTCCGTAACCTCCAAGAAGACTTCATTCGTCACCACTCGCCCCTTTCCGTAACCTCCAAGAAGACTCGTCCCCCTATCGATGCTTGTTGTGTGCGAAAATACGACAAACCAATCAGAACGCTCGTAATGGATGCGGTACTTTGATAAAAATAATCCCCAGTACTTAAATCGATTATGGCATTATGTGTTTGTTTAAAAAATCATGAAAAATATATATCGTCATATTGAAAGAACAAAGAACATATCTTACAGAATTGTGTTGGATTTTAGTAAGGATAATGCCATGGACGGTGAGAGATTCAAATACACGCACGTGCGTTTGTTGACATAACGGCTCTCATGGGTCCAATTGAGTGTATTTTCTGACGATCTTGCGGGCTTGGTTTGGAGATTGTACGTACGCTTTCCAACTTTTTAGGAAATATCTTTATAAATCGCTACGAGTCTCAAAACGATAATATTAGATCTCTATATAACAAACCAAGTTTCATCTTTAACGTAGGGCTTATTTTTGACATCTTTGGGGATATTTTAGTCTTTCTTTTTGGCGGTCATTCATGGACAGAAACTCCTTCAAAACGATTTCCGATTTCCGAAAGTAATCTGGATTTTTATAGCCAGACAGTGCATGCTCTTTGCTGCACAATTTCAACTGGAAAGTGGTTTCTGTTGCGTTGTGGCGATGCCTTTTTAATTTTTGTACGAAATCTCATCAAAGTCAACATTTTCAGGTATAGTCGATTTTTCACTTGTGCAATTGTATAAAATCGTGTTATCAACACATTTGTTACATATTTTGACGATTGTTTGAAACACAACAGGTAATTAATAGATTTTTTAAAATGCAAAACGATTTTGCGTTTCTTTTTTTTTGGATAGTATATATGCATTTGTATATTTTCATGTACAGTGAGCGTTTGATGCGTTTCTCGTGTTATTATAGACATACAATTCCCCCTTTGGAAACACTGTCAAGGATGCTTTCTGTTAAATGTCCCACTGTAATTGTAAGGTATCTGCAAACATGTTGTTATTCGCCTTTGGTCTTGTCTGTAATCTGATATGACCTATCCACTGAATAATTGTGGTGCAAACCTGTGTCGGACTCAACATATACAGTCAGCGTGATGTATCTCTGACGGTGCTCGGGCGGTGGGGTATCCTCGTGGTTCTAGCGTTCGCTCGTCACGCCGAAGACCCAGGTTCGATCCCCCACATGTATACAACGTGTGAAGCCGTTTCTGGTTGCTAAGCGCAGTATTAAATAAACATGGTATGAATCACGGAGTTGTACAGAACTAAATGACCAACTTTAGCCACCTGACAATAAGTCTTTCATGAATTGCTGGTAACCAAACTCGAGATTTGTTTTCAAAAGCAGGTGCTGAATCGATTTCATTAAAAGAGGAATATTGCAGGGCGTTTCTTTTGGTTCTTTGCTTTTCTGTTCGTGCCTAAATATTCATTTATTCATTGAAACTTTCCTTCTTCGCCACGCTTGTGGTTGTTGCTCAGAGGTGCATCTATGGTGTGACCCAAATATGTTGAGGGTATCATAGACAATGACAATTATATAACTCTTTAGATATAGAGTCTCATGCGTATTCAGGCCAACAGACTTGATCTTGTCCTTGTTAATACATTCACTGAAATTATTTATAAGAAGATTCTTAAGAGGCATAGAATTGCCAGAGACTTGCCAAAGGAAATTGGTGGAAATCAGTAGTTCAGTCATTTTGAGGAACTTTAACATATAAGTTAACAAAACTGATGATAGTATTTCTGTTATAGATAAGATTTCTGATGTAGTTTTTGACCAGGATCCTTTATGTTTTGATTTTGGTGAAGATATTGGTGTTGATGTTGAGGAAAACTAAACTGAGACTGACATTGAGTTGAGTCAAATCTTAAGCAGGGTAAATCGCCAGGGGAGGATGGCATTCCAAGTGAACTTTTCGAAAGCACAAATATTATATTCACCCTTTATTGACACAAGTTTACAATACGTTGTTCGATACTGGTGTATTTCCAGCTCAGTGGGGTAAAAGCATTATTTGTCCATTACATAGGTCTGGAGATAAAAAGAGTGTTGATAATTATATAGGGCTTTCACTAGTAGATACATTATCTAAAACCATTGCTGCTGTTTTGAGGTTTAGAGGTTGATACCTCGGTGTGATAAGAGAAATGTTATTTCAGAGTTACTTCAGAGTTGTTTCAGGCCGAATCATTCAACTATTAATCAAATATTCTCCTTGCAATCAATGATTAAACAATATCCCTCCAAGAAAAATGGCAGGTTCTATTTTTTATTCATTGATTTTGGTAAAGAATTGATTGTATCGATCATAGAGTTCTGTTTCAGAGTTTCTATGATATTGGTGTTAAAGGAAGGGTAGATTTTTTTTAAATTTTTTTTATTTCAATGTATTCCTGTGTTAGAACACCCAGTGGAATAACAGAGGTGTTCCAGTGTAATATCGGAACTAAGCAAGGTTGCATTTTGAGATATGGAGTGTTCATTATTCACAAATTATTGAAAAAGTTCAAACACTGCTATGTAAGAGGATATTGAGGCTGAATAAATATCCATGTAATGATATGGCTTTGGGTGATTGTGGCAGGACTCCCCTTCGGTGCAATTACATGTTAAAACCAGTAAAATACTAGCGTAAATTAATTATGATGGAAAACAATTAATAGAATACCTTATCAAGCCTATTGTATGCTTAAGATACTTGATGATGCAGTGAGAACTACATGGACATCGCATACCAGAAATATATTATTTCAATTTACTTTTGGTAAAACATGGAAATGTCAACATACTTTTCTTAATTTTAAAGCAGAAATTCTTTGACTGATTGAGCCAAGATTGGCATCACAAAGTTTCACATCTAAGTTAATGTCAGACATACTGTCAATTTAAGACAATGTTGCAAGTTGAAAGACATCTTTCCTCAGGCATTCCATGGTATTACAAACATGTTTTAAGCCAGTTCAGATGTAATTACTTCAAACTTGCAACTGAAACAGGGAGGCATAATAATACGCTATACTGTAATAGACTCTGTTTATGTTGTCGTAGCAAGGGTATATCATTAGTTAAAGATGAGTACCACTTATTGATGGTTTGTCAATGCTATAAAGATGAACGTTTTCACCATACCAAAATTAGTAACCCATGTAGGGAAAGTTTTGGAAGACGTGTGTCTTGTAAGGATGTAAATGTTTTCACCATACCAATATTAGTAACCCATTGTAAGGAAAGGTTTTGAAGACGTGTGTCTTGTAAGGATGTAAATGTTTTGATCAGTATTGCTAAATTTCTGATAAAGTCCCATAAAATTAGAAATGCATACATTTCAGTCAGTATACAAAGATTCATATGTTACCTTTAGAAGGATATATTATGCCTATACATTGTGCAAAAATGTTTGATATTTTACGAAAACTGATTGCAATTGTATGATTGCTTCTAGTTTATCAGCATCAAATAAAACGACTGGAAATGTACTGTAGTGTGTGCCATGACCTTATACATGGAAATATAACTGTCTGTCTGTCTGTCTGATTTCATCACAAGCCCACAGTTGTTTACTAAAGAGAACAACAAAAACCAAAACACGGGAACACATGGTACAAAACAAAACCGAAAATCCTCTGCATAGTTACCATGCATATTTTGAAAGTTTTAC